TTTCATCGTGTAGACCAAAATGGAAGTTTAAAGATTAAATAAAAGTCAATAGAACCTTTGCTTCAAAATTTTGTTCTGAACTTGTTCCATCTTTCCTTACAATCTCAAGCACTTCTATCGCTGATGAGAACATGTGAGCTAAGCTAATTAAACAACTGTAGTGAGAGATCCATCGTGCATCACTGGTTCGCTTAAGAGTAGTTTCTTGATTCAAACCTTGTCCACTTTAAAGCTAGTTATTTTTTAGTGCTTCCAAAACTAAAAAAGCATGTTTCTCTCTAAGAATACCACGAAGCTTAAAAGATGCCACCACAACATTCACCACAGAAGAAACCATAGTAAGAGATCTTCAATTTCTGAATTCTTTTTTGCCACTACTACTAAAGCTAATTGAAATGAGCAAAGTAATGCACATAAAAAGGCAGACTTATTCTCATTTAGAATTAGAGCTTTAAGTCCATTCTCATCTTACATATTAGTTACCCCATCATTGTCTTATCCATGTAATTCATATATGTTGTCTTATCCACGTAATTCAGATATGCTTAATCCATGTCTAGAAAAAAAGTCATCAATGGTTAACTTAAGGGAGGAAGCTTTAGTATCTGCAACATGCTCAATACCTACAAAGCGCTCTATCACAAGGCCTTTATCCACATAGCGTAGTACAATGGCCATTTGCTCATTTGAAGACTTGTCTCGTGATTCATCAACAAGAATCATCAATATCACTAGTGATTACACTAATGATTTCATATGAAATATCACTTGAGATGTCAATTTCAAAATTTCAGGAGCATTTTCTAGCATGAAAGCCTTTAAACCCTCATTATAGTGACGTAGCCACCTCAAAATTTCAAGAAAATTTCCTTGGTTGAGTGAATTTTCAGATTCATCATGCCCATGAAACGAAAGACCTTGTTGTAAAAGATTCCTACTAACCCAAACTGATGCACTTAATCGAGTTCGATAATCAATTCGGTCTTAGTTAGTTTATTTTGAAATAATTGTTTCAATATGTTGCTAAGATCAATTACTAGCCAAGATCACAGACAAGGGAAAGAGTGGAAAACAATGTTCCTGGAGATGGGCATTAAGATTTGCATTTCCATTTAGCCATGCCAACTCGTCTTGTGTCCAATGGACTTTTTGGCCCTGGCACCCAGAGCTTTCTATCAGCTTTGGATTTACGTAAGGCCTCACAATTTTTCCAAGCATTATTATGAGAACTATTTGGTCCTCCAACATGAATTTCTAGTTTCTTCTTGCACTTCCAATTCTTAAATCTAATTCCAACAAAAGTAACCCCACCAGATTGATCTCCATAATCGGGTTTAAAGAGATAACAACATAAACAATAGGTAGCATCCTGTGATATGCTATACTCCAACCAAGTAGGAAACTGAGTAAACCAAGCACGATTGTATCTTCTAGGCTTTGCTTCGAAATTCGTGTAAGGAATTGTATGGTTCGTGATTGACAAGGTTTATTTTAGAAATAGGCTCTTCGAACTTGATCTCGGACATTAGGATGATAACTCAAAATCGGTCTATGCAATCCAGGATCATATTAGAGAGTTTCCAAGTTAACTTCCATAGAATCCACCCAAGTTTGTTTTGAACTACTTTTCATTGTTGCTTGGACTCTTTGGAGACGGCGACTCTAATATCTCAAGCTGTGTTTTTCTTTTGAAATATCTTTCCATAACTGAAAATTGAAAAATATAAAAAGAAATTGCAAGACATCGATTTAATAAGAAAATAATCATAATTTAGAAACAAAATTTGCAAGAGGAATTGATAGTAAAATGCATACTTTGGGTTGTAAGTCAATTAACTAAACTCCAATGTTTTTTCCTTTGATGGAATAATGGAATTAATCTTCTAATCTGCAAAACAAATATTATTTGTTAAATTAATTTATACTTGGAGATGATAACTTATATAAAATTGACAAATTGCAAAATATTAAAGATGAGAACTTGTGTATTTGGAGTTCATACTAGGCTCCTAATTGCGTAGTGAAGAGCAACATAGGAAACAAAGAGATGTGAATAGATACAAATAAAACAAAGAGATATGATAGGGGATATTAATTTAAATATTGGGAAGCGGAATGGAGTTTTAGATTGGGTAAATGTCCATGTATAATAATCATACAAAATTGTAAAAGAGTGTTGGAGACTCTGATTGGAATTTGAGAAATTGCCAATGTGCAGACTCTGGAAAATGGGTTGAATGAAAAGTTGATACTATTCTTTTTTATTTTTTTATTTTTTTTATTTTTTTGAAAAGTAGGATGGGCCAAGGACTATTGTGGTCTTTAGGTCCCTCCGTCACTCGTTGCAACCACTTGCATGACTCGAAGGGTTAATGCTTCTCTACACCTTCAGTGTTGGCCACGTCTCCTTCTTCGTTGTTCATCTTCTCATGCTTCTTTCTCTTGCAACCTCCTCAGGTTATCCACCGTTAAATGAACTTTGTTTTGTACAATTTATGAATTAAGATGACTTGGGAGGATGGAAGAGGCTTGGTGTGAGTAGATCTGGTGGTTTGAAGGGTTTTATGGAGACAAATGAGGAAATCATAAGATTAGACACTGACATGTAGCATTACATAAATGGTCGAGAATCTTACTAAAACTCTAAGCAAATATTAATAATGGATAATGATACATGGCACTACATGAATTATTAATGACACGTAACACAACATGAATCGTTGAGAATCTTAACAAAAATCTACGACGATAATGACATGTGAGGATAAGACGAAGAAAACATTAGAAAATTGAACTACATATTTGTGAATAGTAACGGCAATGAACTTCAATTGAATCCTGCATTAGGTGATTGAATCTCGTTGCGACTATTGAATCTCGCATCAGCCATTTGCAACTCTCGGCGGGCCTCGGCGAAATTTCTGCTTCTAATGGTCTGTGCGTAGAAGAGGGAAGCAAAAGAGATTAGATGTTTCTGCATCATCCATCACGTTTTTATTTTTGTTTTATAAGAAAGCAAGGTTCAATATTTTTTAGGGTATTGTTATCGACACACCCATTTTACTTCCTACACACCCTTCCCAGTTTCCCGTTGTCAAATTAAATGAATTAAAGAAGATCAAAAGTAAAAAAATTAACAATGATTTGTGGGGTGTAAAAATAGATGTGTGGATGGTAATATCCTATTTTTTAATATAAAACGAGGCCCATGAAAAATACATGAACCTAGAATATTTTAAAAAATTAATAGAAAAAGCACTAAAATAATACACACATACTTATATTTTAGAATATATGATAAACTTACTTAAATCCGCCTAGCCCGTCTAGACCCTCGCTTGGGCACTATCTAGGCGCCTATGCGATAAGCCTCAGTCTGCCACTTGACTAGCGCCTAGTGCCTTTTAGAATCTTGACCCTAACCATTTGATATATTTTTTGCATAGATGGTATATAAACTGGTATTTAGAAGATGATTAAGAAATGAAATTTCTAATCGTAGAACTACAAAATGCATTCTAATCCATTTTATATGACATTATGTCGTTCATTTCACCCTAACTTAATCTCAATCTCTTAATACTTGGAGATCTCTCACCCAAACATAGCTTCGATGTCACCGGAGTTAAAAGCAGCTATACAAACACGTAGTTGCTGCTGAAGCTGATGGGGCAGGTGAATAGCTCCTTGTGAACAATGGAATGGACCACATCTAACATGGAGAAAGTGGGAATGGGAAGAACTTGTTGGTGTTCAATTGGACTTTATATCCTGCTTGGATTCTCTTCGAATATGTATGAGAGAGCTGCAAGTAGCAACTTTGATGTGGCCCCATTTGCTAACAGAATTGCATCCTCTTCTGACATTGACTCTGACCCTTCACTTTTTTTGTTTAATCAACATTGGGTACGAGTGCAAACAAGAATAACAAAGATGATGTTTTCCATTAGTTGATCATGCGCGAACGTACAAAAGTCATGTGCCTCGCACATGACTCAGGGTTATTTCAAACTTTTGACCTTTTTTTCATAAGTTCTTTACTTCTCTTTAGTACAAACTCTTAAAGTTTGGCTAGTTAGAAAACATGTTGTATTCGTTTTGAAAAACTTATGGTGAACTACCAAAAAAGTACATTAGACTCACTAACATCAAATTGTGGCTAATTTTAAGTTTTAAGAATTCAACATGATCAATCATGTCCATTGAAAAAAGTGGTCAATCACAGCAATCTCAATCTCTTTCATTTCATTGCTACCATATAAAAAATATGAGTCTATTGCCTGGTCATGTTCAAATTCAAAAGCACCAAGTGATACTTAGTTCACAACATTTTCAATTGATTTCCTTCAAATTCTACAGTTTATAGGGAGAACTTAACAAAGTTAGAGTGATATGACAAATTGACTATAAACTTAACAGAATAATGAGGTGCTGATATGCCCAAAATAACCTTGAACATAAATTCATAACTTATTTAGGATGAAAAACTTAACAGAGTTAGGATGATACGACATATCAATGATTTTAGAAGTTGATACGACAGATTGGTTAAAATTTTAACTCATGAAAAATTACAAAAAAAGTGTATAGATTCATTTTCATGTAACATTTAATTTGCCCTTTCGTTAACTTGAGAATTTGGAATGTTTGTACACTATATCAAAGCAGCAATCTAGTTACCCATAATTACATCTGATCTCAAATTCTACTCAAGATTTTCACATCGTCACTAATTCTAATCGATTAAGTACTTCAGTTTGAAAACCCTAAAAGAAGGAAACACTTGCAAGAGAGCTGTAGCTCAGCTGTGTTTCCAACAAACAAAATCGTTTTCAGCAATATCCCACATTACGACAATACCTATTGCCGATACTATGTAGCAGCCAACAATTTGTATGCATTTTTCATGATATTATGCATGGATCAGATATATACTTCATTATATGATAAATAGATACACACACATGTATGTATGTATATATATATATATATATATATATATATATATATAAGAATTATACGACATATATAAGATCCATCTATATAGATTTCATCATCTACCTCCAAAAAGCCGTATGCTTTGGAAAAAGCTTCCTGAAAAATCAGGGGCACCCCACATCCTTGAACCGATAACCATCTTTCGGCTAACCTAGCCTCCTCTGTCCCTCAGGACCAACACGGGGTAGCCGTTCGACCACACCAGGTGGGAGGGCTGTTGACTTCATCCATTTACGGCGCAAGCGAGCTACAAGATCTTTTAAATGTGCGAAAAATGAATTGTTTCAGGTAGTGCTCAGGCACAAGAAGATTAAACCAAATTTGGCAGTGAAACCAAAATAAAGACCAACTAATTTCAGCAAATGATTCACGGACCAGCTTCTCCAGGTTGGAGCCTCTGCAGCTCCCACAAACAAGTCAATGCAATGGGGCAATAGGCCTGCACAAACTCACAGCACCACTTGTGATCTTCCCTCACAACTTAAGCATCCCATGTGCTTTCTAGTCTCTATTATGACATTCACAACCCGGCATAATTTCGATATGCAAACAGAATCACGAGTCCCAGATGCGTATGACCTACACAAGATCCTTTGAAATGGCATAACAATCTTCAATCTAACGAACAGTTTAGGATGGAGTTATTATAAATGGTCACGAAATGTTCCTCTGAAACACCGTTTATTAGCAAGAACTTTACCGTGAAGCATCACCAGAAAATTTATCATTGAATAAGTAATAGCAAATGCTACAGTGTTATCAGAATTGACATTATTGTTCAAAAGAGCAAACACTAATATAGGTTGATAATCAACAAATGAACATTAAAACATTCAGTCACAGCTTACGAGACAAAGAAACTTACCACGTACAAGCAATGAAGTCCAGACACCTATGAACCATCATCCTCATCCAGAAATCAGCTGAACTACCAAGTTTCTTATTATGAAGTATAAAAAGACATACTCCTACTAAGCTTTCCTAATCCAAAAGCACTTGTTCCTACGGGTTACATCCAAACTCTACGATCACCCAAAATGTTGAGATGCACTCAACTATGGTGATCCAAAAGTCCTTTCAAGTTCCTGCAATGGAATAGCAGAGGTGCACAACTGTGTAAGAATTCGAACATATGCAAACACTTATTTGGTTATTCCCCAACTTCATGCTGAAAATTTAAAATGAATAACATTCTTAAAAAATTTATATTCATCCACTGTACGTTCACCATGTGAGAACGATATTCTTCCAAAATAAAAGTTCAACAAAAAAACAGAGAACAAAATGTCAAAATCATTTGTGCAGCAAAGCATTTATGTTTCAGTATAAGATTAAAAAGTTGCATGCAACAGACCGGAAATAAAACCATACAAGCTCATATAAACTCTTCCATGTTCTTTATTTCAACGTAAAACATTCTTGCTCAATTATTGAGTTCGTAAGAACGACGGAAGAAATCATACACCATTGCTAGTCAAGTATTTGGTAATAAATAAATAAGTGAAACCAGCAACCAAGGTTGAAGGTGAGAACTATAAAATCCAACGGTCACAATAAGCATGTCTTCTCTAAGAATGCATCAGAAATATATACCGTGAAACGTAAAAAATAAATAAGTATGAGCTGGTGTCCCAACCGATAATCAAGAGAAGAAAAAACAAATACATAGCTCCAATCAATAAGGCATTCCCACTCCTTGCTTCAGACTAGCAATGAAATTATGTACAGGAACATTTGCAAAATTGACAACTCTAGTGTTTCCTACTTAATATGGAAACAATTGGTCAAAGCAGTTATTTAGAATAGCCTGAAAAGGAAAAAGAAAAAGAAAAAGGAATATAAAATGTGCTACTGAAGTGCATTATTTTGACCAAACGGCACTCTTTTTACTCAAATTCACGATTGAAAAGTTAAATATCTATAGTGTCCAAAAAAGGGAATGAAAGAGGACCTACAACAATTGATCATTCTCCTGCCTTTAGATGATTGGAAGTCCTTGCGCACCACCCATCTTTTCCATTCCTCCCTATCAATCCCAATCGCAATTTGTTCTCATTAATCAATCTTAACATACTTACAAATCCTACCTAGTTTATGAATCATTCTATCATTCAACCACACTCTGTCTAGATGTAAATGAGGCAAAAATATTTATTCTACTCAGTTCTCCTGGGGACCCAGCTGAAGGATTCAAAAGAGAATGCAAAAAATAAAAATAAAAATAAATAACATTTCTTTCAATTTCGTCATGTGTCCTAGAAACAGCAAGACTCACAAAGCAACTACTAGCGATCCTGACAAGTGCGGCAGAAGGTACCGTGAGACAACTCGCAACATCCCCGCCCGTTGGCAGCCAGGTGAGATGTGAGACAGGTTGCACCCGTCACGTTGTGCATTGGCATAAGCGATTGTATGCATCCCAGCTCTCCCACGTTCCTAAAAATAAAAATAAAAAAAATAAAAAAAGCCACTAAATTCAGAAGATTATTTGTTATACCTATACCATAAATAAGTATGAAAGGACCTACGACACATTTTTGCTCTGAAAAATGTAAGAAACTGCTATTTTCTTTTCGGGAACCTAAGAAACCACTACTTGATATTGGAGAAGGTAAATGTAACCACAGAATTCATGATCCAGGTGATTGTTAAAAATGACGAATCAAAAGACAAGATTTTGACTTTAAATTTAATTTCTTTTACTAATTGTGAACCAAAAATGCACTTGTTTTTGCCATAATGTAGATCACAAAGTGCTAAAATCACCACCAAAACTAAATCAGTACAATTGTCAGTAACATCCTCCAATGTCCTATGTCCAATGTCCTCCAACCAAATTACCCAAAACACAGTCATCACCCAACATCTCCCTTAACCTCTACTCTTCTTCCTTCCACCAAAAACTTGTGCCATTCACAAAATAAGGGTGTACAGGTAGCTGGAACAGCATCACCAGTAATAGCTAACAGAAATCGTCAACAAGGCAGTACAAAATACTTGAACCATTCTTCTGCCGCTGTCTATTTTTCACCACCTTACTCCTCATCTTCAACCATTCTTCTGCCTATTGATCTTTTGCAAAAGATTTGTGTGTTGGGTATTTGACGTGTGACTTTGATTTTTCATACTGGGTTGGAGAAGAGGGGCAGTAAGTTAACATGGTGGTTGAGCATGGCAGAATTGGATTCGAGGAAGATGGGATTAAAGACAATGACAGCTGAGAAGCTATAAGAATGAGGAGACAAGGTTAGAACAACATAAGCCGGATTTAAAATCCTACAGGGTGAGGTGGGATTCTTTTTGGTCTTGGTTCATACTTCTTGCTCTCAAATCCCACAAAATCCAAAACTTAATAAAATACTGTCAAATCCTTGAATTTTTTAACAAACATAGATTTATAATCACTCTAAAATCATCGATTAAAATCTCAATTGACTACCCATGGATTTGGACGTATTCTTTAAAATCCTCTTAAATCTTAATTTGACTATCATGATTTCAAAGTCTTTTAAACTTTCTTTTAAAAATCTAATTGACTAGCCACCCAGTACTACACTTTAGTAGAATTCTTCTTTACTTGTAAGTGAAAAGTCTTAGGTTGAAATCTCGTAGATGACGAATTCGATACCAAATTAGGTTCTTTATTGTGTGGCTTAGCCAAACTCCCCGTTTCCTTAGTGTAAAATATATTGTTTCACTTAAAAAGAAAAAAAAATCTAATTGACTACACTCTTATCTTAAAGTCTATTTAAATTCTATCAAATCCTAATTTGACTACACCCCTTGTGAATTACAAATCAACAAATCAGCAGATACCATAAGAAAATAACAATTCACTGATTCAAATCCAATTTTCTCCAATTTCCAGAAACCAATCAGCACCTAACGCAAAGGTGAATTTATTTTTTTAAAGAAATATACAAAGACGAGAAATTGAAGGGGGAACCTGGGAGAAGCGAAGAGGCGACGAGGAGTAGAGAGAGACGGCGGGCGGAGGCGAGGGAGAGGGGCCGCCAAGCGAAGCGACGAAACCCTAGCGGTGGACACCAATGACCGAGAAAGCGAACCAGCTGAGCGCCAAGCCATTTTCCGACTTACTGTTTGCCGATGGTGGTTGGGGAGGGCTTTGTGAGGGTTTTGTTTTGTGAGAAATGGTGTGGCGTAGGTACACGACAGCTGATGTGTGTTAACCACTTTTACCGTTGGATTCTTAGCGATTAATGTGTACCGTTAGATTGTTTTAAATAAAAAATTTTGTCCCAAGAGTTAAATCAAAATCACCTACTCGATTTTGGTGGGGAGATGCTGAAGGGCAAAGGAGGACACATTGGCTGAGCTGGGAAAAGTTGGGGCGGCCCAAGTGTGCTGGGGGTTTAGGATTTTGGAATTTTTAGGACTTTAATGATGCTTTACTTGTTAAACAATGTTGGAGGTTTATTCATAATCCGAACTCCCTGTGGGCTCGGACTCTTAAGGCTCGATATTTTCCTCATTCTTCCTTCTTTGATGCTAAACTTGGGAGTCAGGTCTCGTGGGCTTGGGCTAGCCTTCTGGTGGGGTGGGATATCCTTAAAGCTGGTGCCCATTGGCAGATTCTTAATGGTAAGGATACTAGACTTTGGATCGATAGGTGGCTGCCTTCGCTTCCTCTTGGTCATCATGTTCCCCAAAGCTATAATCATATTACTATGAATACGAAGGTTTCCTCCCTTATTTGCCAGAGTACCAAATCTTGGGACATCGACTTCTTACGTCCGTTCATTTTAGAGGAGGAGGTCAATGCTATTTGTGCCACCCCTCTGGGGAATTTTTCTAACCAAGATCGGTTGATTTGGACAATAGAGAAATGTGGCAAGTACTTAGTTAGGTCGGGTTACCATTGGATTCACTCAGCAAAGATAAGGGTGGAGGCTTCTATCTCTATGGATAATTTGCTCTGGAGGGCTGTTTGGAACATCAAAGCACCCCCAAGAATTCTCAACTTCATATGGAGAGTTGTTATTGACGCGTTGTTCACGATGAAGGGTTTATTCTTACGACGGTTGGTCTTCGCTCCAGTGTGCCCAATCTGTAAGAATCAGGAAGAATCAGTTATGCATATGCTTTTTCTTTGTCCCTGGGTGGCGCCAATTTGGTTTGGTGGTCAGCTTAGTCTCCAAATTATTAGGGATGGTGCACCAGCAGGATAGATCGAGGATCCTCTCGGTTATTGCTTTTTCTTGCTAGCACATCTAGAAGGCTAGGTGTAATTATGTCTTTAATGCTACGGTTGTTGTCCCTTCCCAGGTGATGCATGCTATTTCTTTCGCTGTTGCTTATTTTTGGGAGGCAAAGGCTCCAAGCTCTCTTATTGCTCAGTTTATCCATGCTCCTACCAGGTCTGTTTCTCATTGGTGTCCCCCTACTGACCCCTACATCAAACTCAACGTGGATGCAAGCTGGTCCCTGGGAGATGGTAGGGCATGTTTGGCTGTGGTGTTAAGAGACCATCAGGGCCATTTTGTGGTGGCTCAGAAGCTCTCTATTGTGGTTTGATCGGTGGCGTTTGTGGACGCGATGGCAATGCTTAGGGGTGTGAGTTGGCAGCTGACCTCGGTACTGGTTGGGTCGTAGTGGAGTCGGATTCATTAGAGGTAGTCTCTTCTTTGAATGGGGATATTTCTAATGGCAGCTGGGAAGTGTTCCCTATATTTCAAAATATTTTGAGTGTGGGGACCTCTTTTCAAGGTTGTTGCTGGTCTTGGGTTCCAAGATCGGCCAACCAGACAGCGGACTTTTTGGCGTCGAGGACGAACATGAAGATGTGCGGTAAAACTTGGGTCAGACAACCCCCATCTTCATTGATTCACATTCTCAACAAGGATGGGCTTCCTTGCCCTCTGTAAGTGTTTTTGTACTGTGGTGGTGTGTTGGGACGACTCTTGGCCTTTGTGGAAGCGTCTCTCGGTTGATGTCCCTCACATTGCCCTTTATTTTGTTTTGCTTTGCTTGTCCCTTCTGTGGACTTTCCTTGTAGTGTTGGCTTTTGCCATGGTAATGCATATTTCCAGTCTTCCAAAAAATAAAAAAATCACCTACTCAATTGACAGGCATAGCTTTTGTTGTGAAGTTTTTAAACTTTACGAGTCTCATAATTTTTTAAAACGTGTCAATTTAATTCAATCTTCGAATTAATCAACACTGTTAGTTTTTTGCACTTTAAATTTGATAGATATATTTAAGGGGTCAAAGGCCTATATGGAAGGTTATAAAGATTGAGGGTCAAAACCAAATAAAAAATTTAGGGACACCTATTAATCAAAAATATATCGGAGTCACATGAAATTATTTTAGGAACTCTTACTTATTGATATACATAGCTTTAGCTAAAATTAATGACAGATGGTTAGGCTCTACCCTATAGCTGGTTTTCGTTCGTTTGACTGGTTTCCTGGCCAAGACCGGCTATTGTATGTCAATGCCCTATTTTGCTGGTACAATTGCAGGGTTCGGTACTTTTATGTTGTTTCTGTAAGTTGTAGATCAGTCATATGGTCATTACTCAATGGCATTAACGTTAGTGTCATGCCCTGGATCTAAGGTCGGCAAAAAATAATTTCACGCCCAGCTTGCGAGTATAAGGAAAAAAAAAACGAAAAAAAAAAACTTCTCATATAAAAATAACTTCAAAATACTTACAAGGTGTACACAAATAAATAAAAATCTTTAAATCACTCATTTAACACAATCTCAGCTTGTCCACCCTTCGTTGGTCTTGTAACAAACCTAAAATGTCTAAAATGTAAAAGGTGAGCAAAACCACAACTTAGTAGGGATATAAGTCTTGTCAAGGATAATTGTTAAGGCTAAACCAAATGTCATGCTCACATAAATCAATTATATCATGCTACCAAACATAAATTATATTCCATGAATGCAGCTTAACTTCCATTACCCGACCTGTTAATTCATATAATAAAACAAGCGGACCTGCATGTCACATACCATGCATTTAACCAATGCAACGGTGGTTCGTAAGTTCTATTATAAGATAACACCAGTAACTCTGCCATCCCAAATTTCCCCTCTTGTTGGTCATATTGTTCTTCTCTGAAAAGAATGTGTTTAGGGCTTATAGGGGTAGCAAAAGCTTATCGAAATTTAGTAAAGATGGAGGTATATATATGAGGATAGGGTCAGCCACTGTGTTGGGGTTTTACCCTACATGTGGCAGCATCCTTCAATCTCTGGATTGCGTGATGATAATTCTGGACTAGTTTGTAGTAGAAAATACCCTTCATATTCCTTAGCACAACGTTAGGAGCGTGCTTGATTACATATTGTGGCCAATTTACTAAAGGGACAGAAGTCTCGGCAAGAGAGAGAGTGTGGAGAGAATAAGGTGCTGGGAAATTGCAGGATATATTTCCCTATGCAATGCCTTATATGTATAATAGACCATGAGGAGTGAGAAACTTGCTCTTCAAGTAATATAAAGTCTAATAAGAAAGAATTAATAGAATAAAGAGTAATCTTAAACCCAACCTACCTAGAATTTACACAATCATACATGTGCTAAGTATTTAATTACAACATATTCATTATTACACTATATATTATCCTATTCTTAGTTGGATTTTATATATACTTTTAGAGATTTTTGATACTTACATTTTGTATTTTGATTACAGGTGCAGCATAACCTACTCTAGTAGGAAAGTGGCTAAACAATGGATTTTTTGAGAAATTCTAATTGGAGTAGATTCTCAAGGCATTAAGATTGTGTCAAAATCACAATCCTTAAATTCAAGCCGTTTGGTGTGACGACTAAAATAATGGACGTGGACAAGGCTGGACAAATTAACCTTTTGGGCTTGTTTGGGTCATAAGTTATTGAAGATGTTGTATTTTGGAGAAATTTCTTTCTACAATATTGAAGCGGACTTCTTAATCTTTGTAATGATCTCTATGGGCTTTTAAAAAAAAAAAAAAATAGAAAGAATCTTCACATATTTGATTTTCTATCAATTTAGGTTTACCCTTAAGATATCTTATTGAATTATATTTTCAGATTTTGGTAAACCTATTTTAGGTAGGATTTTAATTCTAAATTAGTATATATTTGGCCGAGCCTTGTAACCTTAGGAGTTAGAAGTTTTAGAATTGTAGAATTCGGCTAGGGAGTTTTGGCAATTGCTACTTTGTACTATAAGGTGTATTTCCTATTTTTCCTTTTTAATAATATTCCATTATGATTATGTCTAACTAACTCTCTTTGCTAGGGTGAGAATACGAGCTTTAGCATGAATCTGTAGTTTCTTTTCAATTTACTTATAACATTATGCATGCTTACTTTTAATTTTTTATCATTTTTTTAAACTATCATTGTATCTTAATGCTTGATCACCATTATGATGTTTAGACAAGTAATTGGGTGTAATTCCTGTTGGAATGTCACCCTTGTGGTTAGAAATTATAGGTTTACTTAACCAAATGTCACGCTCTTAATGGTTGCATGGTTTTTTAAAAGATTTTTACAAAACTTATTGAGTCTTGCATGTTTTCTATACAACAATTATTATTTTATCGTTACTATAATTTTTAGGGCAAATTGTTTTCTTATTATTGCTTAGTTTCTGTTATTGCAGGTAGAGATTCCTTCTTTCATGAGTTTAGCTAACATTTATAACAACACACATGGAGATATTATTAATAAACATGGTCTCAACTTCCCAATCATGGGGCTAGCCACCATATCCTTCCTTCATGTTTTTCCACATATGAAATAACATTATTTTAATTAGTGGGATTAGTCTCCTTCATGGATGACTCTAAGACCTCGAAAAGGTGGAATATTATATAGCTTCCACGTTAAAGATTAATTGATATGAGAGAGATGATCTTTTCGTCAGTTGTCATTGATCTGAATGTCACATACGGACACTGTTTTATAAATTCTTGTCTAGCATCGCCTAGATCCCGTCTAGGCACTAGGCAGTTGGCCGCCGCCCCGGTTAATACCTAGACATTTAAAAATTAAGAAACAGTGCCTAGACCTGCTGAGGTGTCCACCTAGACCGCCTAGCTCGCCCAGACCTGCCTATGCACCCGCCTAGATCACAACTCACTTAGACAGAAAATAGATAAATTTTATTTTGTAATTTTTTTTTAATAATTTGTAATAAACTTGTTGCATACTTAAATGAACACACATTATATCCTTAGTTCACATGTTTTCATTATGTTCCAATACTTCATAATACATATGCATTATATTTTGTAGTTTATGATGAAATTATATATATTTTAAGTATAAGCAAATACTTATTTACAAGAAATATGATAGATTTACTTAAATCCACCTGGTTCGCCTAGGCGTTAGGCCCCAACCTGCTGCCCGACTAGCGCCTAGCATTTTTTAGAACCTTGCATACGGATTGCATGTTAAATATACGTTTTAGCTTAAATGTCACGAGTAGAATATGCATAAGGAAAATCTAATCTTCGAAGTTTGCTTGTGTTAACTCATAAGTAATTGATAAGACTACATAAAATTGTTATAGCGGCTACACCCTAGTACTTCTCATATTTGATTTCTTTTAATCCGATTGCTCTTTTTATTGTTATTGCCTTTGCTTTTAATACGTTAACTTTTTTGCACTTTTTATTTCAATTCAAAATTCCAACTTTCTTAAACTTATATTAAATAACAAATAGTTATCTAAGAATTGTATTTAAGCATAAATTATTCATATCAATTCATGTGGAGATCGACCTCGCTTGAGCCATTTGTACTACAATAACCATGTTCTCTTGGAAGCAGTGTCTGATTTATCCCTGATTTTGCATATGATAAAAATCCTATTAATAATGAAGATGGTAATTATGGTGCTTAAAATTTCAATTTTCTTATTTCCCAGAAACAGAAAGAGCCGGGAATTCAATGACAACTCAAGAAAAGAATGGGAAAAAAAAAAAAAAAACTCTTAGATAATTCTTTGAAGTGTTACTAATGATAATACATGTAAAACCCCTTGGATTATTCTCTCATTTGCTAAACTAAATTCAGCTTCAAAAAGTCCCCACAATAAATGGAACATGACACTGAATCACTGACACCAAAGTGGAAACGAAACTTTCATTCGGAATAAATCAATAGGATGAATATAACCTCAAAACTCGACGATAATGGATTTTTTGAGAAATTCTAATTGGAGTAGATTCTTAAGGCATTAAGATTGTGTCAAAATCACAATCCTTAAATTCAAGCCGTTTGGTCGTGACGACGAAAATAATGGACGTGAACAAGGCTGGACAAATGAACCTTTTGGGCTTGTTTGAGTCATAAGTTATTGAAGATGTTGTATTTTGGAGAAATTTCTTTCTACAATATTGAAGCGGACTTCTTAATCCTTGTAATGATCTCTTTGGGCTTTTTCAAAAAAAAAAAAAAAAAAAAAAATAGAAAGAATCTTCACATATTTGATTTTCTATCAATTTAGGTTTACCCTTAAGATATCTTATTGAATTATATTTTCAGATTTTGGGAAAACCTATTTTAGGTAAGATTTTAATTCTAAATTAGTATATATTTAGCCGAGCTTTGTAACCTTAGGAGTTAGAAGTTTTAGAATTGTAGAATTCGGCTAGAGAGTTTTGGCAATTGCTACTTTGTACTATAAGGTGTATTTCCTATTTTTCCTTTTTAATAATAATTTTTTTATATTCAATTATGATTATGTCTAACTAACTCTCTTTGCTAGGGTGAGGATACAAGTTTTAGCATGAATCTGTAGTTTCTTTTCAATTTACTTATGACATTATGCATGCTTACTTTTAATTTTTAATCATTTTTTTAAACTATCATTATATCTTAATGCTTGATCACCATTATGATGTTTAGACAAGTAATTGGGTGCAATTCATGTTGGAATGTCACCCTGAAAATGGTTAATGCTTCTTGTGGTTGGAAATTATAGGTTCACTTAACCGAATGTCACGCTCTTAATGGTTGCATGGTTTTTCAAAAGATTTTTACAAAACTTATTGAGTCTTGCATGTTTCCTATACAACAATTATTATTTTATCGTTACTATAATTTTTAGGGCAAATTGTTTTCTTATTATTGCTTAGTTTCTGTTATTGCAGGTAGAGATTCCTTCTTTCATGAGTTTAGCTAACATTTATAACAACATACATAGAGATATTATTAATAAACAGGTTCTCAACTTCCCAATCATGGGGCTAACCACCATATCCTTCCTTCATGTTCTTCCACATATGAAATAACATTATTTTAATTAGTGGGATTAGTCTCCTTCATGGATGACTCTAAGACCTCGAAAAGGTGGAATATTATATAGCTTCCATGTTAAAGATTAATTGATATGAGAGAGATGATCTTTTCGTCAGTTGTCATTGATCTGAATGTCACATACCGACATTGTTTTATAAATTTCCGTCTCGTATTACCTAGACCCCGCCTAGGCACTAGGTGGTTGGCCACCGCCCCGATTAATGCCTAGGCATTTGAAAATTAAGAAAGGGTGCCTAGACCTACTGAGACGTCCACCTAGACCGCCTAGCGCGCCCAGACCTGCCTATGCACTCGCCTAGGTCGTAACTCACTTAGACAGAAAATAGATAACTTTTATTTTGTAATTTTTTTTCCAATTATTTGTAAGAGACTTATTGCATACTTAAATGAACATACATTATATCCTTAGTTCACATGTTTTCATTATGTTCCAATACTTCATAATATATATGCATTATATTTTGTAGTTTATGATGAAATTATATATATTTTAAGTATAAGCAAATACGTATTTACAGGAAATATGATAGATTTACTTAAATCCGCTTGGTTCCCCTAGGCGCTAGGCCCCAACCCGCTGCCTGACTAGCGCCTAGCATTTTTTAGAACTTTGCATACGGATTGCATGTTAAATATACGTTTTAGCTTAAATGTCACGAGTATAATATGCATAAGGAAAATCTAATATTCGAAGTTTGCTTGTATTAACTCATAAGTAATTGATAAGACTACATAAAAATTATTAGAGACTACAATTTGAAATAGGTCCAATTTTATAGACTACCTTTTGAAATAGGTCCAATTTTTAGTGACTTTTGACTTTTGAAATAGGTCCAATTTTTAGTTACTTTGGACTCATTTAAAAAAACCCCAAATTAGTATAGGTGACGGCTACACCCTAGTACTTCTCATATTTGATTTCTTTTAATCCGATTGCTCTTTTTATTGTTATTGCCTTTGCTTTTAATACGTTAACTTTTTTGCACTTTTTATTTCAATTCAAAATTCCAACTTTCTTAAACTTGTATTAAATAACAAATAGTTATCTAAGAATTGTATTTAAGCATAAATTATTCATATCAATTCATGTGGAGATCGACCTCGCCTGAGCCATTTGTACTACAATAACCATGTTCTCTTGGAAGCAGTCTATGATTTATCCCTGATTTTGCATACGATAAAAATCCTATTAATAATGAAGATGGTAATTATGGTGCTTAAAATTTCAATTTTCTTATTTCCCAGAAACAGAAAGAGCCGGGAATTCAATGACAACTCAAGAAAAGAATGGAGAAAAACAAAAAAAAAAACAAAAAAAAAAACCAACTCTTAGATAATTCTTTGAAGTGTTACTAATGATAATACAAGTAAAACCCCTTGGATTATTCTCTCATTTGCTAAACTAAATTCAGCTTCAAAAAGTCCCCACAATAAATGGAACATGACACTGAATCACTGACACCAAAGAAGAAACGAAGGACTTCGTTTCCACTTTCACTCGGAATAAATCAATAGGATGAATTTAACCTCAAAACTCGACGATAATATGCTGCTCTCAGAGATATGCTGTCCTCAAACATTTTAACTGTCTGTTGAACGTATAGATCCTGCCAGATGATATGTTTGCTGTAACTGTACTTCCACTATAATGTAGTTTTTTAGTGGTGTTATGGTCCTTGGACCAAAGACCAACTTCGTGAAGGTCTCCTTCCTTCCAACATATGTTGACTGTCACCCCGCCACGAGCCTTCAGTCCCTTCACACAACCGTTTGCCCATTTATCCCGCGGAAGAGCGGGAAGCAAATATAGGTCCTTGACAGTGCTTTGGACAAGCATTTCTGCAACTGCTGCTGAAAAACTGGCACCAAAAGATAGAGAATTACAATCGCAGTCAAGCCACCGATCTTCGTCACTCACGGAAGTGTTAGGTCTATTGTCGCATATGAACAGTTGGAATTGAGACATATGAAGTAGATAACTTATCACGAAACTGATTCAACAAAAAATTAACTTATACAGCTTACCCAAAGTTGGCGTCAATCTGGAAAGGGGGATGTGCAGTGAACAAGTTACCGTATAGTCCTCCTTCAAAATCACTTTCGTGATCTGGATCCACCAAGTCAATCAAATGCTTGACCATACGATATGCATGCTCACTATTGTGAAGACGTGCCCACAACGCAGTCTTCCATGTAGTCGACCATCCTGGACCCTCCTCTCCTGTTTTAAAGTATACAAATATGACAGTATTTAGTTACTAACCATGTCAACTTTCATTTATTGTTCTACGTTTGCTAGAACCATGCCGGGTTTCCTGAAGTAAACAAGAGTCTTATGTAGCTAGTCATCGTTGGATGAACTCTTGGGTAGGGTGATCTTCCAGGTAGGAGACATTAGTTTGTAACACCATTAAATTGGATCATCACAAAAGGCCTGAACAAAATTCACGTAGCCGTAGTATTTAAGTGTGTTCCCATCAATCATCTAAAACCAAACCTCAAGGGGTAATGTTGAATGTCAAAAGTCCTACTTTCAGTTTGATATTATCACCTTTCTTTACAATTTCATTTGTAACGCATCTGCGTCATCGATACATCCAACGTTATCGTTATCCAGATTCATGTAATAGTAAGTTGTTTGGCTTCCAAGTGATACGCAAATTACGACTACATTTCATGTCGTCCCAATTTGCATCTAAATTCAGTTATCAATTATAATGTACAAACCTCTTTTAAAGAGCGTATAATCGACCGCTTTACAGAGATCTGGAGTTTTCTCAACGCTTATTGTGTGTCCTGGATACAAGCCAAACAGGTGTGATACATGTCGATGGTGCACTTCTGGGTCCTCAAAATCTTGTGCCTGCAATATTACAGAGATAAATATTAGTTTACAGTTAATATAACGATTCTATACAAGAGTGTCATAAGACATTATAAGACCAGGAAACAGATTCCTGAAAAATGGAATGTGCAATCTCCAGCTTACCCATTCCATGATAGAACCATCTCTAGCAATTTTTGTGGGTGGCAACCGAGACTGAGCCTCGCGAACTTTTCCAACAAGAGCATCCTGTGTTTTTCCTAAAATCTGTTTTTTAAAGAATATCTGTTAGACATCAATAGTCCATATAGCTAAAGTAGGAATCCTTGCTAGCACAAAATTGGAGCAAAACCTCAGCAGCAGAAACTATTGCAGAGAAAACTTCTTTGATGATTGAAATGTCCATAGTTGACGAGTAGCTCACGCTTGCCTGCTTGCCATCAGGAGCAATAAACATGTGCTCCGGAGAAGTTGACGGGTTGGTTTCAAGATACCCTCCACGGCCTTCAATCAACCAATCCAGCAGAAATGATGTACATCCTTCCAACAAAGGATATGCCTTATTTTTAAGAAAATCCTAAAGATGTAGAAAAATTAGCGATCATTTACCTACTAGAAACTGTAGTCGAATAAGATAAGCAACATATATAAACAGTAAGTTGGAGTTAACAGCAATAGGGTACAAGGCACAGGAGCTCACCTTGTCCATCGTATAAGTAAAATGTTCCCATAGATGAGTACAAAGCCAGGCTCCTCCCATTGGCCATAAAGCCCACACAGCTTGACCTCGATCGGGTGATGTTTTCGCCCATATGTCAGACACTTGATGTACAACCCAACCACTGGCTTCGTAGTTCACCTGAAATGTGCTATGTGAATTAATAAGAAAAGTAATCCACAGAGCACCGAAAGTTAAGGCTGTGAATGTAAACTAGAATGGGAGAGTTCCCACCTTAGCCGTTTTCCTCCCGTTGATAGATAAAGAAGATGTATAATCAAATAAGGGCTCCTGGCATTCTCTTAGGTTACAGGGAAGGGATGGCCAATAGTTCATTTGAAGATTTATGTTCAGATGCTGAGCGCCACTGCAAGTATAAAGTTTAGTAAAAACCACCTCAAATTATTGCCAAAACCTCTGACAAATACAAGGGGGCCAAATTAATTAGTCAATGTACTATGTTTATGCAATATGTTTGGAAGGGTGAGTTTAGTCGTGCCATGTATGACATGCTAACAGGATGATACCCTTGGAGCCTTGAAGAGAGGGGGAGAGAGAGAGAGAGAGAGAAAGAGAGAGAGATACATACTCCCATGGAGGCTCAATATCCTTGCTCCATATACCCTGCAGGTTTGCCACTTGAGTTCCAACCCGTGAACAAGAAATAAGAAGATACCGGCCATACTGGAATAAAAGTTCCACAAAGGAAGGATCTTCATCAGTTTTGAAGGATTTCACCCGGTCTGCAGTTGAAACTAAGGCATCATCACTTCCCTTTACATTCAAATTGGTCATACTTTTCTTTGCCCCTAAATTGCTCTTGGAGCTCTTAGAAAGCTGCAACGAGACACGATGGAAAAGATTCTGATAGTCATCCAAATGGTGAGCATAAAGATCCGAATACGACAAATTTCTTATTGAATTCAATGCAGTGAGAGACTCTGAAGTTGGATCCCTCTTAGAGTCAGAGGGCTTAGTAAATGGTCCATCAAATGATGATGAGGCCGCAAGAAGCAAAACAGCCCAATCTGAATCTTCAACCCTTAATTTCTTGTCATCCAAAAGATGTATTGCACCACTGCCATCGCTAATCTGCAAATCAAGAACTGCCGAAAACTGAATCCCTTTTGGACTGTCATTAGATTTTGGTGGTATCCTTTTGCCAGGACAACTTCCTTGTAGTATAATTTGGTTATTACCATTTACTTGTGAATTATGATGTAACTTGCTGTCTAGAGAAACTGTAAATGATAGGGACCCTGGTTTGCTAGCGGAGATCTTTGTCACAATCACTTGATTAGGATAAGACGAAAAGTGCTCCCTTGTATATTCTACACCGCCCACTGAGTAATTTATCTTTGCCGTTGCAGTATCCAGATCTAGCTCTCTGCTGTAAGTTTCTTCATCATATTTGAGATGTGAGTCACCGAATTCTAGGTTGATGTCACCGAGTGGTTGATAAACCTTCATCAAGCAAGAAATTAATGTCAGACATAAGCACCCTTGCAGACACGCAACTCATCCAATATCCAGTGCCATCGGTAAGACAAAGCTTGGATTTGCATAACAATTAAAAATAAGCCGTTAGCTGCTTTAACTAAAACTACATTTACCGTACAAGGCACTAATGACATTCAAAAACATATGTCTATAAGATACATATTTTTACTCTATGTACCCTATTAAATTAAGATCCCATTATGAACAATTATCAGCAAAAATTAGTAGTTCGATTGAATTGCATATACCGCATTTTACAGTATTACATCGAGCTTAAGTAGTCATCACAATTCATTGAAACGAGTAAAAAAACAAAGCACTGAAGCTGATGAAGTTACTTACATCAGAAGGATCTCCCGCCAACTTGACCGCTGCTTCAGTAGCTTCGACATATTTACCATCGTCAACAAGTTTTCTAACCTCTGTTAGTACCTCTGGAGCCTTTGGGTTGGTATAGTTGCCAGGAATTCCAGTCCAGAGCGTGTCCTCTACAGAAATTTAAACTTCATGCAATGAGTTTCACTATAATCTTACTCTCTCCGTGTTAGAGAGAGGGAGACAGAGAATAAATGTTTCATGATAAGGAAAAAAAAAATATTCTAAAACAATCCTAAGCATTAATTTTAATTCTGGTTGCCCTCTCATATTTCTCATCCACCAAAGATGAAGTCGTTTGAGAATTCATATGAGTAAAATGCGGTCCGATTACAATCAAAAAGCAGATTTGCAATCAAAATGCGGTCTGATTACAACAAACTCATGAAAATTCAAATGAACAAAGCTTCCTGAATCATGTTTAATACCTATATGCCGTTTGATGTCTAGGATTGGATCCGATAGCTCACTAGACTCATTGCAAGTTGAATTTAAAAATGGACGCAAAACTTTCAAATGCTGTCTAAGTTAAGCGGGGTAGAAGATGGATTAGTCAAGAAGGAAACTCATATATTCCAATCCCCATAAAAATTGTAGGGTTGGGAGGGAAAAGTTTTCTTCATCAACAATCCATCTTCTACCCTCTACTTAAACCAACATCTTGGATGTTTGACATCCATTTCAATCCAGAGAGTTATCCAATCCGAGCCAGTCCAATCCAATCCTAGACCCCAAACAGGCTATGTCTTCTCACAAGCTAACTCTAATAATGGTAAATCATTCCAAGATTTCTAAGTTCCTGAAAAAACAATAAACTCCAAACACCAAGCATTTCAATTGAAGCAAACGAAACACAAAACACAAAAAACCCAACAAAACAGAAGTCACAATCAACACAATGCAATCAAAAGCTTTCAACTTATTACCATTGAGTTGGAGAGTTTCTGATGCCACACCACCCCAAACCATGGCTCCAAGCCTGCCATTCCCAATTGGTATAGCATCAGTCCAGTGCTTGGCAGGCCCAGAAAATGTGACCTTCAGAGGTCTAGAACTCTCCCCCTCCTCCTCCTCCACTAAAGATGGGGTCCACAGGTCCTTCTCTGCAGGGCTCCGTACCAGAACCCACTCACCATCATCCTCCATTGCAGAAGAAGAGGAAGAAGAAGAAGAAGAAGAGCTTGTGACTTTGTTGTGATTTTTTGTTTGGAACTGTCGGTTTCTGAAGTGTAGTGGGTGAAGTTAAAAGAGTGAGTGGGTCAGAAACTGTGCTGAAAACGTTTTGGTTTGTTGAGGCCTTTAATGTCGGGGCGCGTTGTAAGGTAATAAGGGTCCCACGCATCACGGCATTATTTGTTACTTTTCTACTCTCCTGTTTTCGCTTTGGAAAGCTTCAGGAAAATGGAAAAGCAAAGACAAAAGCCTTGCAAAGCCTCTTTACTTTTCTACTACTAGCCTAGAGGTCTGCACATGAGATGAAATCTTCTATACGGTTTATGGTCTCAATAAGTAACTGATACGTATTTATTTTAACTTGTTTTAATTTTGTCGTCATATATTTAATATGTGTCAAACATCTATTAGGATCCCAAAAATACCACATTTATTTTTGGTGCAGAAAATTCTCTCTCAACCATTCACGGGTTGCTGTGATATGTATTTGTGATTATTTGTTTACCATCACATATGTTGATTGGCATGGTCCTGGTATATATTACGGCGGTGGTTAATATCAATGATAGTTTGATTCTAATAGAAGTTTTAAGTAAAATTTTGCTTTTAATACGAATTCTAGGTTATTTTAAATTATAAAATAGCAGGTTTATGTTTACTAAACTCACACTAATCAGTTGTTCGTCCTCTTTGTGGCTTTGTTTGGACGTTTTTGGATTAGTTCCAATCTCTTTACCACTTCTCAAAGTGATAGCTTTAGGACTTTCAAAACTTCCCTTGGGATTGACAATGGTTGAACTAGGAAGGTTGCCTTGTTCTCTAAATTGTCCCATGAATTATGCTATCTGTCCAATTTGATTCTTCACATTGCCCATCTCTTTAGCTTGGTTTTGTAAATCTTGAGTCAAAGAAGTTAGTGTTTGAAGAATTTTATCATAATCCATTAACGAACCAAAATTTGGTTGGGAAGGTTGTGGGGGTGGCTGTGGTGGTGCAAATGGCCTTTGATAGAGCCCTGGAGGTGGTTGTCTATATTTGCCTTGTTGTTGAGTTTGTTGAGGTTCCCTCCACTTCATATTTGGATGATCTGTCCAGCCGGGATTGTAGGTGTTGGAGAATGGGTCACTCCTTGGTGGATTTTGGCCTTGATAACCTATGACATTGGCACTTTCCCATCCCCCATTCTCTATTAATTGAGGACATTGATCAGTATGACGTCCTTGCATAGAGCACATGCCACATGCAGCTACACTTTGCACTTTGGATCCTTCAACAACTTGTGATATAAGAATAGAGAGATTAGCCATTTTAGATTGAAGTTCTGAAATAGTACTTACCTCATTGACTTGGATTGGGCGTGCATGTTCTCTTTCTCCAACTCCTTCATATTGTTATGCGTTCAAGGCATGATTCGCTGTTAAAATCTTCGCAACAACTGGGGTTTTGTCAACTAAAGCACCTCCAACTAAAGCATCAAGCATTTGTCTCTTAAGTGGAAGTAGTCCTTCACAGAAATATTGAATTAAAAGCTCCTCCTTCAGTTGATGTTGTGGACAAGATGCAACTAAAGTCTTGAAACGCTCATAATACGCTGGAAATGATTCTCCTTAGCCTTGTTGAATTCCACTAATTCTCTTCCTCAAAAGAATGACTCTTGAAGTTGGGAAGAATTTTTCCAAGAATGCTTTCTTCATGCTTTCCCAAGAGGTGACGGTTTCAGGTGCTAATTCAAAGAGCCAATCTTTAGCCTTTTCCAAAAGAGAGAATGGAAAGTCTTTCATCTTCAAAATATTCCCATCCACATTAATTGGTGTCATGCTCGAGCACACCACTTCAAATTCCTTAAGATGCTTGTTTAGATCTTCTATGGACAACCCATGGTATTTAGGAATGTGATGCAGCAAACTAGACTTCAATTCAAACTCATCGGTTTTGCCTTGAACTGCCCTAGGGTATTGGATGCAAAGGGGAACAACATTGTCCAATCCCGAGGCTGAAAGTTCCTTGATTGTTCTATTGTCAACAGCCATGTCTTGCTTCTCTTCTGATTCTGTTTCAGTTTCAGCCTCAAATTCGGATTCGGAACTAGAACTAGGTGGATTGAATTATGGCTGCTTCATCTTCCTTCTCAAAGTTCCTTCAAAATCATCGTCAAATTCTAATATATTCTCACGAACAGGTTGAGAACTTCAAGTCATAAACTAGTACCTAAATCAAAAGAAAACAATGACTGGGGGGATTTTGGATGAATTCAATTAAAACAAAAGTAAAAGGCAACAAGTAAATTAAGTTGTGAATAAAATATGGTTGAAAGGATAGCTAAAGGATTCTTCTCCACACATGAATCATATGCATACAAATTGATTTCCAGTTATTCTATCTGTACACCATGAATGACAATGCCCCAAATTAATCGTGAATAAGACTAATTAACTCTTAGATTCTCCTAATGTCAACCAAATTATTCTTCTCAAGTTCCCTAACTATGAAAAGCATGATAGAGATACACCTCAAATATCATTAAGTTCTGTGAAAATCATAAACATTGACAAAACATTTGTAACTATGAAAAGCATGATACTCCTGCCAAGAATTTACTTAACTCAATCATGACTAGTCACCTTTACTACTTACAAATATCAATTCATAACGATTAGGTGAAATTCCCTTATGTTCTAGCATCAAATCCTTGTATGCAAACTAAGTGTGCACCCTTAATAAACATACAAGAATAAGTTTTCTATAAAGCAGATAAGTAAATCGCTTTCTTGTCTTATGAAACAATAACTGGATGTAATCAATTTATATAAAATGTATGATCATGGCTTCGAATTCCCCTCTAGCTAAAAAGATACTTAGTTACACATGTTCATCATAACTGAAAAGCAATCTAAAATAAACATTAAAACTTAAAACAAAGAGAAAAAGAACTCTGAACACTCGAGTAAATTCAATGGATGAATGGCAGGCATGACACTTTCTAAATCGCTACAGGAATTTCATATACATAGGGGGAACGGCTAAATCCAAGGAGGAAGGGGTTTTGGCGTTTTAAATTATTTTAGAACTCTAAGAATCAAATAGAAAGTGTTGGAATGTGATTAGGATTCCTTCTTGCAGCTGGAGATAAGATAAGATAAGGTTGGATAAGATAGGATGGGATAAGATAATGTTCCTCTCCAACCATGATTCCTTTTTCTTCTGTAATTCCTAGCCTTCTAAGCCTCAACTTTAATTTCTCCAGATTTTGGCACATATCTAGCACCATTTAAACACCAAAAACATCTAGCCCATATGCTATCCACGCATGCTATCCAATCTAAGTCCAAAACTGCTCCAAATTGCTCCATTTGGCTATTTATTGTTATATTTACCAAATGGACCTACAATAATACGAAAATAACTTAAATTACTACAATAAATGGAAATTAACTAAATAAATGCAAAGAAATAAGATAACAAAGTCACATAAATATGCTTCTATAAAAAACGTGAAGGCTAATAGAGGACTGTTAACCTATTGTCATAAGGAGTTATTGCATCGACTTGTGTTGTGTCTCATTTGTTGAGCCACTCTAAACTAAGTTTCCAGAATTCGACTCAGTTTCGTTGAGTGGTCCATGTTCCGTTGGGGCTCCATTGAGTGGTTTGGAACCCTGCCTTATGTGGTCCGTTGTGCGGTCCAGAATCCTCTTTCCATGTGGTTCTGTTAACTGGTCCATAATCGTGTTTGCTTGGGTTCTGTTGAGTGGTCGAAAACCTACTTCTCTTAGATTCCCTTAAGTGGTTTGCAATCCCTCTTCCTACCTTGTTCTGTTGAGTTGTCCAAAATCGTGTTCCGTTTCGATTTTGTTGAGCGGTCTGGGATCCTATTTTCTTCTAGTTTCATTGAGTGCATCGAAACCTTTTCTTTGTTGGATTCCAGTAAATGGTTATGAATTCCTCTTCTTATTCAGTTCCGTTAAGTGGTCTGAAATCTTATCCCTGTCTCCATTGGTCCTTTAGAGTTAGTCTAGAATATGGAAGCTTAGGAGTTGTAGGCTTCGGCTGAACTGTGTCACTCTAACCCTAGTTTTCAGCATATTTATGAACAACAGGCTTGAGAACCTTTGTGGTTTGATTTGGAAAAGTTGAGGGATGTCTGTGTGATTTTATCAGAATTTCAAATGAACCATTTATGATTTTATAAAGGGTGATTTTATGAATGCTATTTATAAATTGAGATCAATGGACTTGTTTTTATTATTCTCACATACGTACATACAAGGAGCTTTTGGTGTAGGAGCCAAAGGTCAGAGAGCTTGGAGTGGAGAAAGTGTAGGGATTTCTCTGTGTGTATGATATGTTAGTCTCTCTACACAATGCCTTTAGTTATAGTATTATAGTAGTAAAGAGGAGAGAATTACTCGTCCTCCAAGTAAATACAATTGTAGTAGAGAAAAAATAACTAATACCCAAATCTATCTAAAATTTACACAATCACATTTTAATATAATATCTATAACATTCAGTTGTTTAACGTCAAATTTTTTCATAAGCATAAAATTAAAAAAATTAAGATGCTTTTGATTATAATTTAAGTTTTTTTTTCCTTAGTACATTGATATTTTTATACTAGGGAGAGGGGGAGTTTGGCTAAGCCACATAATTGACAACCTTATTTGGTATTGAATTCACCATCTATGAGATTCGAACCTAAGACCTCTCACTTCTAAATGAAGAGGAATATTACTCTCACTTCTAAATGAAGAGGAATATTACAAGACCGTAATACTGAGCGATAGAATTTAGGTTTTTGTTTAGATACAAAGTTTTCATTCTTTTTATTTATTTATTTTTAATTTTTTTAAATATCATAATCACTAATCAATTTTGGATGTGGGCCGGACCTTACATAAACCATTAACATACTCACCGCTCGTCGGACATCGGGAAGAAAAGATAAAAAAGAACGCAGACAAATCTTTGTTGGTTGGCTCATGATTATCATCAACGTTACTTACTAACCGCCGCATGAGAGCGACGTACAACAACTTGTGCTTAATCTATTATAGTTTTGAATGTTCTTGTGACTGACCATCATTATGAACTT